GTGAGTGGCCTGTGCAATACACAACTGTGAGCTTTTGGGGGCACTGGCTTCTGTGTGAACAATAGCCACTAACCTGTCAGAGAAGGTATCCATGTGGAAGCTGGTGCAGCGATGGGTTGCTGGTAATAGTGAGGGTGAATCCCTAGAGGCTTTGATCTGCAAGGATATCCTCACCCAACTGTACAGCCACTGGGGTCCAACAAAATGATCCTATCACCCTCTGATCACCTTGGCCTGAGAATTGGGCACCAGGATCCTAATGTCTACAAGATATCAGCTTGGGACTTGTAGGCTGCCTCTGATGTTGGTCACCTTCAGGCACCGACTGGTGATTACCTTCACTATAGGGACCAAAAAATCCACAAACACATAGCAATGCAAGTGGCCATTTGGCCCGACCAGCTAAAATCAGGACCATTGTGGCAGTTTTATGGTTTCCTGAAGTGCTCTACATTTAGGACCCCCCCGCCAGGAAAGTTCCTCCCTGCACATGTGTTCCTGTGCTGTAAGGCAGCTCTCAAACACTTCAGCTAAAAACTGAGATCAAAGAGCCACCAGCTGCCTGGGAAGGATCCCATGGTGGTGTTTCCACTAGATGTTCCCTTTATCCATATAGATGATGTTTTCTTTAGCTTTTTCTGGTACCAAAACGTAAGCACTGACAAGTACACACTCACAAAAAATTTCACACCTACTAGCTTCAGAGCACTGTGGTCTGAAAATATGCAGGGAATGATCCCAATCTTTTGATATGGGTTGAGACCTGATTTAGGACCGAGGATGTGATCTATTCTGGAGAATGTTCCATGTGCACTAGAGAAGAATGTGTATTCTGTTGCTTTGGGATGAAATGTTCTGAATATATCTGTGATGTCCATCTGGTCCAGTGTGTCATTTAAGGCCTTTATTTCCTTGTTGATCTTTTGCTTGGATGATCTGTCCATTTCAGTGAGGGGAGTGTTAAAGTCCCCTACTATTATTGTATTATTGTTGATGTGTTTCTTTGATTTTGTTATTAATTGGTTTATATAGTTGGATGCTCCCACGTTAGGGGCATAGATATTTACAATTGTTAGATCTTCTTGTTGGACAGATCCTTTGAGTATGATATAGTGTCCTTCCTCATCTCTTATTATAGTCTTTGGCTTAAAATCTAATTGATCTGATACAAGGATTGCCACTCCTGCTTTCTTCTGATGTCCATTAGCATGGTAAATTCTTTTCCACCCCCTCACTTTAAATCTGAAGGTGTCTTCGGGTTTAAAATGAGTTTCTTGTAGGCAACATATAGATGGGTTTTGTTTTTTTATCCATTCTGATACCCTGTGTCTTTTGATTGGGGCATTTAGCCCATTAACATTCAGGGTAACTATTGAGAGATATGAATTTAGTGCCATTGTATTGTCTGTAAGGTGACTGTTATTTATATTGTTTCTGTTCCTTTCTGATCTACTTTTAGGCTCTCTCTTTGCTTAGAGGACCCCTTTCAATATTTCCTGTAGAGATGGTTTGGTGTTTGCAAATTCTTTCAGTTTTTGTTTGTCCTGGAAGCTTTTAATCTCTCCTTCTATTTTCAATGATAGCCTAGCTGGATATAGTATTCTTGGCTGCATGTTTTTCTCGTTTAGTGCTCTGAATATATCATGCCAGCTCTTTCTGGCCTGCCAGGTCTCTGTGGATAAGTCTGCTGCCAATCTAATATTTTTACCATTGTATGTTACAGACTTCTTTTCCCAGGCTTCTTTCAGGATTTTCTCTTTGTCACTAAGACTTGTAAATTTGACTATTAGGTGACGGGGTATGGACCTATTCTTATTGATTTTGAGTGGGGTTCTCTGAACCTCCTGGATTTTGATGCTTGTTCCCTTTGCCATATTGGGGAAATTCTCTCCAATAATTCTCTCCAATATACCTTCTGCTCCCCTCTCTCTTTCTTCTTCTTCTGGAATCCCAATTATTCTAATGTTGTTTCATCTTATGGTGTCACTTATCTCTCGAATTCTGCCCTCGTGGTCCAGTAGCTGTCCCTCTTTTGCTCAGCTTCTTTATTCTCTGTCATTTGGTCTTCTATATCACTAATTCTTTCTTCTGCCTCATTTATCCTAGCAGTGAGAGCCTCCATTTTTTATTGCACCTCATTAATAGCTTTTTTGATTTCAACTTGATTAGATTTTAGTTCTTTTCTTTCTCCAGAAAGGGCTTTTATATCTCCCGAGAGGGTTTCTCTAATATCTTCCATGCCTTTTTCGAGCCCGGCTAGAACCTTGAGAATCGTCATTCTGAACTCTAGATCTGACATATTACCAATGTCTGCATTGATTAGGTCCCTAGCCTTTGGTACTGCCTCTTGTTCTTTTTTTTGTGGTGAATTTTTCCACCTTGTCATTTTGTCCAGATAAGAGTATATGAAGGAACAAGTAAAATACTAAAAGGGTGGCAACAACCCCAGGAAAATATGCTTTAGCCAAATCAAAAGAGATCCCAAATCGTGAGGAGGGGAAAGGGGATATAAAGAGGTTCAGAAAGGAAGAAAAAAAAAAGAAATTAAAAAAAACCAATAATGAAAAAATATAAAAAGGAAAAAAATATATATATATATTAGATAAACTAGTTAAAAAACGTTAAAAAAGAAAAGGGTAAAAGTTAAAAAAAATTTAGCAGAAGAAGAGAAAAAAAAATTGAAAAAGAAAAAAAAAATTAAATTAACTGCAAGGCTAAAGAATCATGGGGAGAAAGCCATGAGTCCCATGCTTTGCTTTCTCCTCCTCTGGAATTCCGCTGCTCTCCTTGGTATTGAAACTGCACTCCTTGGTGGGTGAACTGGGTCCTGGCTGGGTTTCTTGTTGATCTTCTAGGGGAGGGGCCTGTTGTAGTGATTCTCAAGTGTCTTTGCCCCAGGCGGAGTTGCACCGCCCTTACCAGGGGCCGGGCTGAGTAATCCACTCGGGTTTGCTTTCGGGAGCTTTTGTTCCCTGAGCGCTTTCCGTAGAGTCCGGAGGACGGGAATGAAGATGGCGGCCTCCCAGTCTCCTGCCCGGAGGAGCCGAGAGTCTGGGGCCCCACTCCTCAGTGCGCCCTCAGAGAACAGCACCCAATTGCTCCTGTCACCCTGGCCTCTGGCCGCGCTCCGAGCTGACCGAGCCTGCGAGCGGTTCAAGGTAAACCCGAGCTTAGAGCTCACTCCTCGGCTCTGTAGCCGGCTTCCCCGTTCTAAGCTCTGCGACACTCAGACACCCCCGATCCTTCTGTGACCCTGCGGGACCTGAGGACACGCTGACCCCGCGTGGGCTTCACCCCGGTTAAGCCTCTGGAGCAATGTCCCTCAGCGGAACAGACTTTTAAAAGTCCTGATTTTGTGCTCCGTTGCTCCGCCGCTTGCCGGGAGCCGGCCCCTCCCCCCGCCGTCTATCTTCCCGTCGCTTTGGAACCACTTCTCCGCCAGTCCTACCTTTCAGAAAGTGGTTGATTTTCTGTTTCTAGAATTGCTGTTCTTCTTCTCTTCGATCTCCCGTTGGATTTGTAGGTGTTTGCAATCTTTAGATAAGCTATCTAGCTGATCTCCCGCTACCTGAAGTAGTCTCAGCCTGCTATTTCTCCGCCATCTTGACTCCTCCCCAATTTCACACCTACTACTATTAAATACTGAGTGCATTAATTTCTGGTAAAATTAGTCCCTTTACTAAACACTTCTGATCAGATCTAGTTGTCTTCTGTAGTATACTAGTTGAGTTTCAGAGCCCTGAGTAGCCAAAGGATACAGTAGGTCATTTTTGGTCTGTTTGTATTTTTGTTTGTTTGATGGCTGGTTGGTTGGTTGGTTGGTTGGTTATAATTTTCTGGCACTTGGAGTCCAATCAAATGACTGACTGGTTGCATTTCTCATATCCTTTCAACCACTGATGTGACTTTTACCATAGCAAGAGGGGTTTTTACAAACTAACATCTCATAGTGAAATATCAATTGGCAGGTCCAGGTTCTATGTTGTTTTCAATTTAAATGATTTTATGTATTCCTGTGTTCCTGTTATAGTTTCTCCTTCTCCTATGTTCTTAAGCAGTGCTTTCGTTTTAGAGCTTCATGTCTCTCTTGACATCACCAGCAAAGAGCAGACAAGGGCATGAAAAACCAGCTAGAGCCAATCTAAACACCATATGACAGAATATAACAGAAAAAAAAAACTATCTGTATGTGAAAACTAGAGAAGCCTGAATCATAATCAGGTTGGGAATAGATTTATGTCCATTGCAGAAGTACCCCCATAGCACCTTGACTTACTGCTAACATTTCACGTTCACATACCCCGTGCATTTTCTTCAAGGTTGTTGCTAGAGATTTTGAGATTGGCTTTTTACATACCAATCTCCTTAAGTAAGCCCATGCTTTAAAATTTATAAAAATTAAACCTAAATTTCTTCAAAGGTGTACCATTTTGTATGTCCAGTTTTTTCAGTGCTAAAACGAGATATTTTCTTCATAGAATTTTATTCAAATACCAATAAAATTCTCAAGGTATGAGATAAAAGGTTAAGTTGGTGATCACTAGTTACAAAGAGCAGTTGTGACAATACAACCTGAATCGAGTTCAAATGTAGAAATTGCTCACCTGTGAAAATAATTTAAAAATTTGTGAGGATCCGTTGTGATTAAGTCATTAGATGGTATAAATGAGCAGTCAGAGACCCAAAGAGAGTGACAAAACAAGAATAGGTCTCCTGACTCCATACCCCATACTCTTTGACAAAACAAGAATAGGTCTCCTGACTCCATACCCCATACTCTTTGCTAATTTTACTGATCCTACCCTTAAAACCCATAACTAAAAGAGACTCTGACTATTGTTTATCATTGGGGGGAAAAAAACTGTTAGGAATACAATATTTCACTCAGTGACATCAAGATATGCTCTATTCACGGTTCCAGTGTTCATAACACAGCTTCCTTTCTGAGCACATACCTGAATTCCATGCGCTTTACAATAATGTGTTGATGCATCTTGTAGGTTTCCATAGACGTGCAGCTCCAGTTACAAGAAGGCAATTCCCACATGGTGCACACAGGATGGATTATCTGCACTTTGAGGATGATAGCCGTGGATGGTGGTTTGACATGGATATGGTGATCATCTATATTTATTCAGTGAACTGGGTCATTGGATTCATTGTTTTCTGCTTTCTTTGCTATTTTTTCTTTCCGTTTTAGGAATTTTCATATCTTACTACAGTTGAACTATCACAAATGATGTAGATAGCAATTAAACCTTTTTAAAAATGTGTTTTGAAGTTTTTGTAATGTTGCATTATATAAATTGTTGGTGTTTATAGAAAGTATGAGAATAATGGACTTATTTATTAATGTTTTTCATGCAATGAACTACAGTTTACTGAGAAGCTAGTCTGTCTAGCACTTAGCAACAATGCACTATTAATTTCATAATTAATTTCATAATTCCTCCTGGTTTAGGATTTATGGGCTCTAATTTTATAATATTGCTTTTATACTTAATTGTAAAGACTGAGGTCTTCCCTCCACTGAAAAGTAGGAAAAATACAAAATGAAATGATAATCTGGGTAGATAGTATCTTTGCTGAAAAAATATTTAGTCAATCACCACTTATTCTTAGGCAAATTATGTGCATTAAATATAAATTATACTTTCTGGGAATTAATCTAGCAGGGTATATTCAGTTTTGGTTTCCAATTATCTCTACTTATTTTCTGTTCTATTATCAAAAAAGCTGGCTATTCTTTAAACAGACCTAATAATAGCATTAATGCAACATTTTTATTTATTGTAAGAACAGAATAGTAAATGTGAAAGACCCCCAATAGAAAGAGATGTGTTAATCCTTTCCAAATTACAGGATTACTCACCTGAAGAATTAAAATATTTACTTTCAGTAGTTTAAAGAACAATGCATGTCCAAAATGTAACTACTTTAGTGATTTGTTTAACACAGAGATTGTTAAATATATCGTACAGGTGCAATAAAGAGTGGCTTTTACATTTTTTCTTTCTTATTAAGTAATTTAATATCTGGAATAAGGAATTTTTGGAAATAGGCTTATGAGTATATACAAAAAAAAACTGGCATTTCTTATTATTATTATAGTATTATAAGCCTTGGAATTGGTTTTTCCCTTAATTTAAAAAAAATAATAAGGAAATCTAAATTATTCCAGAATAGGAAACAACACTAGTACCCCACTTTCACAAGTGAAAAAACTAAGGCACCCAAGGTTTATTTCAGTAATTAAGGTGGTCTTTGTGTAACCTATGAGGAGTGTTTTGATTATGAACAACATTCCTACACTGTGCTATCATATATCTGATAAAGCAGTGAACATACTTTTACATAAGGAAAGTGAAACTGTCATGGCACTAAAAATATCACCATCAAATTGTCACTGCCGAGGCATCAAGAGTTCAGTCTAGGAAAAGTCCAAATTTGGCCTAATTACAACTAAGTGTATTTGAATAAAAGCACCTATATGTGATGTTCATAGAATAACAGATTTTTATTCTACACTGTTACTGTTTTTAAAATTATGTCTATGAAAGGAAATAGCAGTGTCCACTAGACCCTATCAAATCTAGAAAGCAGAAAACTAAATACATTTTAGAAGCATCAGTTTTTGCTCATGTATCAAAATAGACAAATTATGCTTAGTCTAGTGGCATATAACTAATATCGTGGTAAAACAATATTTTTTACAAACCTCAGTATTATCTTACAGAAATAAAAATGGGTATTTATAATTTATTGCTCCAAGTGGGGGTAATACGTGTCAGGACTGAAAAATTAACAAAACAGATTGGGGGGCAATATCTTAATAACTTTAAAATGAACTGCAGCCATTTCCCAAGCAATTCCTGGTTTATCGTCTCTAGCAAATGTGCTTTTACTCATTACTAAATTAAAAAGTTGATTAAAGGGGCACCTGGATGGCTCAGTCAGTTAAGTGTCCAACTCTTGAGCTCAGCTCTGGTCTTGATCTCCATAAGTTCAGTCCCTGCACTGGGCTTCACACTGGGCATGGGGCCTACGTAAGTAAGTAAGTAAGTAAAGTAAGTAAGTAAGTAAATAAATAAATGATTCTAACTATACATGAAGCAAACTTAGTAGTATAACAGATAAGAGAGTTCTCAGAGAAACAGATTTGATTCCCAATATGATTATAGTAGCTCAGTGATAATATCAGTTTATAGATCTGTATCTACAAACTAAGTACAAATAAAAATAATACCCTTAAATACCCTTTAAAAAAAAAAAAGAAAGCATAGTCTGGAGGAACATTCTAGATGGGCTATATGAGTCTTAGTCTGAGAATAACATCATTTGGCATATTAAAAGTAACTTTAAAAATATAAATTTCTAATTTTACTTTAAAATATTTAAATTATATGCAAATGGAGCTACAAGCTGCCAAATATTAAGAAGTGCAGCATTTCCTAGAGCTCCCAATTTATTAGAAGCCAGAGAAAACCTGAGATAAGAAGAAACCATTTTCTTCTGGAATCTGTCATGCAGTCACCATTCAATAGATAATAAATTAATGAAGAAAAATAAATGTATAAATACATGAGCTTTAGAGTAAAACAAATTGTATGCTGTTCTTGTTTAGTGTTTTTCACAGATCCACCACATAAAAACTCATTTTCCAATAAAGAACAAAGGAAAAAAAGAAAAATCCTGAAACTGATGAAGTCCGAGATATGCCCTAATTAGTATTACTTAGTAAGGTTTAATTTTCTAAGCTATCTCTATCAACAATTTCTATTTCTCCAGAGCTTAATTACTGTGAAGGTTAAATACTCTCACACATGCATTTAAAAAAACGCCCCAAGTTACATTTCTGAATTCTTTCAGCAGGTGATTTATTTCTTGATTGTAAAAAAACAATTTCACAAACTGAAATCAATTCACTTTATGCTCGGTAGAAGCTAGGGGAATCTAAATTAGACAAAACATAGAAAGAATCAGAATTTGTTGTACAAAGAATCACCAAAATCAAGCATGAAAAAAAAAGTGCTTAATATTTCTCAGTCTGCTCTATTACTAATGTCACTCTGGTAATAAACACTCAATGTAACAGCAAAGCCACTATTACTATTCTTTCTGCCTTGGAATCTTGCTTCCAAGGAGTTAAAATGATATGACCCCAGAAAAGGCCAATTAATAATAAGTTATCATTTAAATGCCTTCCCTATGGCTAAATGAAGATAGAGATTTTTAAACACTTGATTTTTCTCTGGATCATTTGTTAAGGAATGCCTTAGAAAAAGGAATACACTGATTAAATGCAATGACAGTCTTCAACTCTTCACAGATGCTGCAGTTGAATGCAGAGGACACCATCAGACAGCACAGTGGGCCTAAGAGTCTGAAGATTTTAACACATTCAACTTTTTTTTAAAAATTTATTTATTTGACAGAGAGATTACAAGTAGGCAGAGAGGCAGGCAAAGAGAGAGGGGGAAGCAGGCTCCCCGCTAAGCAGAGAGCCTGCTGTGGGGCTCGATCCCAGGACCCTGAGATCATGACCTGAGCTGAAAGCAGCGGCTTAACCCACTGAGCCACCCAGGCGCCCCTACACATTCAACTTTGACTTTCATGTAGTTTCTGACTTTCAGTAATTCTCACTGTATGCGTTTAGTAAGTTCTATCAGTGTATCCTTTTCTCCAGGATGCCTTGGTTTTCCTTTTTTATTGAAGACAACACCTATAGTAAGAATCGCTTTTATACATTTTTAGTTTTTACACAGATGTTATGAGAAACATCATTAAGTATCTTCAGGCCATGGTATTAACATCCTTGTGAGAACAGCATGTCTACTGCAATGTACATTTATCTATCTAATAATCGTGCTTCTCTTACAGGGTCAGAAAAGCAAATACTTTGCCATTCCCACTCTTGTTCAGGATCTCTCACATGGTACAATAGATATATTGTGAGAATCATTTTTCTTATTTCAACACTTCTCAAGATAGTTTTTGGACTGTTATCACCAAGTTTATGGTTCCCTCTCCTTACATACCCATCAATAAATTTAAGTGCTGCTAAGACACAGTCCTGTTTCTCTTACTTTCACACTTTTATAAGCCTGTGAGCCTCACCTAAAGAGTACCTACTAAGTACACAGACTGCCCAGTAAGTTCCATTTTTATTGCTGACAGCAGAGTGAAAGAGGTTATTGCTATTGTAAGAACTAGGTTAATATTTTCATTGCTTTACATGTGTCACCTCGTCTACCAACAAAACCATTAAGAGGAAAAGGGAAGTGAGAAAGGATAACGCTTATTTACATAACTGTTCTATCTTAGATACTTAGCTGGTGCCATTAACATATTAACTAATTTAATCTCTTCAGTACACTTAGAATATGATGATGTTAACCTCATGTTACTGGTGAGGATGAGAAGTGATGTGACCAAAGTCACACAAAGTTAAAAGTGATTGATTTATCTTCATTTATGAGGGATTTCAAGACCTGTGATTTTACTGTCTGTGGCATCTGATAAAATTTGATGAAGCTGGGACATTGGCTAAAGACTGGTTGTAATACTGCTAAAGGAGCTTTGGGAATGTAAGAGATGATCTGAATCAAGAATGCAGGAATTAACTACTTACACTTTGTAACAATTTTCATTGCTTATACCAATGAAAAACAGTATCTGCAGGACATGGTGTAATACGCAATACTACATTTGATAAGAGCTTTCATTCTGTTTGCAAACTTAGATTGGTTTATTGTGGCTACCTTTATTGAGAAGGATTCTGAGGTTCCATCTTGGCTCCACGAAGAATAGTGCTCTGGTCCACTGGTGATGTTCCTCAAATATGAGGGAAGGAGACTGATGAGGAAGGTATTTGGATAAGAGTGCAGAAAAGCATTCTGGTTTTGGAAGCAGGTCTTACCATTTGTTGAAGGAAAACAAAAGGGCAATTAAGTGACTATAATTAATAACACCATGATAGATATTAATGTAGGTATGAGATGTAACTAAGAGTAAGCTACAGTCCTTGACTTTTCATTTCCCTTACAACAGAAGATTAATAGGTACCTAGCTGTGAATTCCATAGAAGATTTTTAAAACATAACAGTGTAGCTACAATGCAATTTAATTTTCTCATTTAAAAAAATTTTAACGTGTCAAAAAAAAAAAAGTATGTAGTCCTGTTTCACAAATTCTGCAGGACTAAATGGATGCTACTGGTATCTCTTCTGATCCCAATATTTGTAGGTAAGTATATATAGTGTTAAAATCAACCTCGGTCAAAAGTGAACCTCAGCATTACTTCTTAAGCCTTCATATGCCCACATTAAGTCTTGTTAAAACGCATATTTTTCAGAAGGGGCGGGGTAGGCTTGAGTTTCCTCATTGCTGATAAGCTATCAGGTGGTATGGATCTCCTGGCCCAGGAGCCACACTTAGAAAAACCAGGAACTCAAAAACCTCAAATGGATCTTGCATCCCTGTCATTACAGTAACTGTTCCCAAAAGATAAATTTCTCATTGTTTTAGCATGTGAGAATTGTACTATACTATAGTATATAGTACTATACAGTACTATACCAGTATTTATATATTTATATATATTTATATATTATATATATAATATATATACCATATATTATCCAATATATGGGAATTATGAGTTATGCTATAATTTTATATAATTCTATTGAATAAGCTTCTGAAATTTCTTGGTGGCAGCAGTATGTAAGTATTTAAAATCCACAAATCAGACTCCCTCCCCCCCTTTTTTAAAGATTTTATTTATTTATTTGACAGACAGAGATCACAAGTAGGCAGAGAGGCAGGCAGAGAGAGAGGAGGAAGCAAGCTTCCTGCTGAGCAAAGAGCCCGATTCCGGGCTTGATTCCAGGACCCTGAGATCATGACCTGAGCCAAAGGCAGAGGCCTAATCCACTGAGCCACCCAGGCACCCCTCCCACCCCTTTTTTTAAAGGAAAAAACTATTTCTCCTCTTTTCCCTATTTTTTCCCCCAATACCCAAACTTTGGCCTTGATATCTTTATCTAGAATCTATCTGAAGAGAACAAATGTGAGATCTTCC